AAAGAAAGAAAGAAAGAAAGAAAGAAAGAAAGAAAGAAAAAGAAAGAAAGAGGTCAAGGTTGCAGACCCCTGTTCTAGTCCAACTCCCTGATCAGGCAGGAAAACGGAGGATGCCAAACTCTGAGTAGAGGTCCTGGGAAAGGTGTCAGAGTAACAGAATAACACTTAGAAGGGACCTTGGGGTGAACCCTATACCATTTCAGAGAAATGGCTGTCCAGTCTTTTCTTAAAAACTTCCAGTGGTTGAGCACCCAGAACTTCTGGAGACAGGCAGTTCCACTAGTTAATTGTTCTCACGGTCAGGAAGTTTCTCCTTAGTCTTAGTTTGCTTCTCTCTTTGTTCAGTTTCAATCCATGGCTTCTTGTTTGCTTTCTGGTGCTTTGGAAAATACATTGCCCCCTCTTTCTGGCAGCCCTTTAAAAGCCTGCTGCCTATCACACCCTTGGGCAAAGCATGTTCCTCCTTTCAGTGGTCCATGAAAGTATATCTGTAGCATGTAGATAATAAAGTCAAAAAAAGTTGAACAACATTTTTACAGAACTATAGATACGTTGAGGCTGGGTGACAAGGAATGGCTGGGAAGGGAGGGGCCAGGCAAGGCACCCTTGACATGAGTGACATTGAGTTGGCCACACCCACCAGGCACATCACCAAGCCATGCCCACCCAGTCACATGACCACCAAGCCATGACCACCCAGTCACATGACCACTAAGCCGCGCCCACTAACCAAGCCACTGCCACAGAACTGGTAGTGAAATTTTTTGAATCCCACCACTGATTTGCACATAACTCCTCTACATGCCCATCCCACTAGATCAGAGAAGGTAGCAGCTCCAGGTGCCTTCCCTGACATACTGCCATCTGTGGTGACCTAGTAACCCTGCCTTTTCCATGGCTGCCACGCCTTGTGGAACACTTTCCCCCTGGCCATCCAACAAGTCCAACTGTTTTAGCCTTTTGGAAGGCTATCAAGTCCTGCCTTTTCTCCCAGGAACTGAGGTAGTCTTGAATGCCTAGGCATATTTATTGGTGGATTCTGGGAGGGTGACTGAAGCACCAGGTTTTTAGTTTGGTTTTATGGGTTTGTAGTTTTGTTGTGGCAGCCTAAAAGTTGTGCTCTAAATTGGGAAGCCATACAAAACTTTTTAAAAAAAGAAAAAGCAACCATCAGTGCCATCATTCTCCTCCTAGATACAGGCATAATCGACATCTCAATCCCTGACAACCAAGTCTTCATCTCTGAATCTATCTTTGAGATTGTTTCATGTCCTTCAGCCCTTGTTTGCTGGGGAAAAACTGTTAAAATGTGTTGAGTTTTTTGTCCCTCAGTTATACATTTATATATTAGAATGCATTGGAAAAAAGAGATCTAAGCTCAAACAAGCCAGTTCTAAGATAGAGGATTTGCTAGCTTTTCCACATAGCCAGGACCAAATGCAGTTCTTGAACAGTGCTAAAACAAACTGAATTTAAGTAAAAATAACTTGGTTTCTCCATTAGAAGTGTATCGCAAGAGCTGTCGGAAACTATTCTCACCATGGTAGCCAACTGCAGCAATGTAGTGAACAAAGCCAGACAGCCACCGCCTGGCGTGATGCCCAAAGGACGTCCCCCCAGTGCTAGCAGCCTGGATGCCATCTCCCCTGTGCAGGTATGTAGCAAGCGTGAGAGAAGCAGGTAATAGTTCTTTTGCCTATTGGTTTTTCAGTGTGCAGAATTCAGCCTCATTCAAAAGAAGTTCATCCTGTTTTCTTTGCATGGTGAATGTTACCTTGCAGGTTAAGCACAATCTTTGAACCTGATTGGCCCTTTACAGCTTCTCAGGCCAAGCATCAGTGCTAGATTGTAAGGGCTTGTGATAATGGGGCTCTTCGGCTCTCAGCTGAACTGCTCTTTGAAAAAGCAAGGAACAATTCTTGGACTGCACTCACATGTGCCCTTTCATTATTTATTTTCTCAATATTGTATTTGGCTCTATTCTACTGATTAAAAGAAAAAAAAATGAATGAAAGATAGGCATTTGGGCATATGTTTTAAGAAATTATCTGCAGTAAGGCCATGCTGAAGTATGGAACATTATGGTCAGTTGGAAGATAGTTGTTCTGCATGTTAATCGGGTGGGATGCTATCGTTTGGGCCCGGTTCTATAGAATCCGTAGCTCTGAAGAGTAGCAGACACCGAGCCAGTTCGGTGTCTGCAGCTCTGTTTGGCCCAGCCGCCCGCCCGGGCTCTTGGCTGTCCTTTATTTCCTGCTTTTTCAACCTCAGCTGCTTTGCACGGCACAGATGAGGTTGAAAAAGCAGGAAAGAAGAGGAGTTTGAAATGCTGTGCATCTGTACGCAGCGCTTGTCAGCTGTCCGAGCAGCACAGCTGAGGTTTTTTGGAAATGGTCTACACACACAAGCACAAAACACACGCTCACCAGGGGTGGGATTCTGCCTGCCGGAGAACCAGCAAATCATGGCACTGGCTGGCCCCGCGCACTCACTCCTTACCTGGTATGCGCACCGTCAAACTTGCCTACTAAGTTGCTATTTTTCCTTTTTTTCCCCGACTATCAGCTGTTCTGCTGTGCCGGGAGATTTAGATTAGCTAGAAAGCAGGAAATAATTGCATTTCTTGCTTTCTAGCTAATCTAAAAGCAGAACTGAACCTTCCTTAGGACCAAAGCTTCTATTTTTCAGTTCAGACTCAAGTAGCTGATTGCAGATAGATAGATCTCTAAGTGAATCTGTCATTCGGTGAGCAACTCAATCTGCCTGCCTGCCTGCTTTGCCTGATTTTGGGGAAAAGTTGCTCTTTTTTAAATAAAAAAAATCAGCATTTACATACATGATGTGTTATGAGTTAATTTTGTGAGTTTGCTTGATAGCAAATTTTATGAGTTTGCTTGCAAGCAAATTTTATGTGACAGACTCAGGTAACCGATGGCAGAAAGATAGATCTCTGAATGAATTTGTGATTCTGTGAGCAACTCAATCTGCCTGCCTGCTTTGCCTGATTTTGGGTAAAAGTTGCTCTTTTTTATATAAAAATTTCAATATTTATATAAATATTTATAATATTTACATATAAGCCATGCCCAGCCAGTCACATGACCACCAAGACATGCCCAGTCAGCAAGCCATGCCCAGCCACACATGACCACCAGGCCACACCCACAAATTAGGCCACACCCACAAAACCAGTTGTTAAGAAATTTGAATCTCATCCCTGATGTTAATGTCATCGTTCCAAGTAATGGGCCCGATCAATTCAGGACTCTGAGGCTGTGGCTTTTCTCAAAGATCAATTTTATTGGGTATATCATATCAACACATTCAAATGTAAAAGCAACTCTAAACATTTTCTGCGTTTTGTTATAATAAAAAGAAATAGATATCACTGACCCATCCCTAGTGTCACTGGTCATGTTAACCAACCAGGTGGATGGCAGGTTGCTCAGCTACTCCCTCTAGCTGTTACAAGTCTCGTTGAGATGGCCTTGATTCCCACAGGCCTTATTGCTGTTATGTCTGGCATCTGGGAGGAAATTATCCACACCCCATAGTAGGGCAACTAAGAAATGAAGTAAAAGGAATATGGCTTCAGCTAAAGGCATTTTGAGAGTTGACAGTTCATTTGTAATCTAAAAGAGCCATCAGCAGAATTCTGAAGAAACATCTCTTTGATGGATAACATGACTTCACTCTTATTTATTATGCTGATACGTTCAGAGGCCGCATCAAACTCATTGCTTTTCACCAGCTGTCCTTTATTTATGCTTTGATGTAGGTACACTTTCAAATCCAAGCTCACTTTGGCTTATGGCATTCTCCCTCTCCAGATAGCTCTGCTGGGTGTATTTCTCCTCTTAACCTTTCTGATTACCTCTGTTTATTGTGATTTTATGTCCTGTCTCTTTCTAGTCTGAGAGAATAAGGCTACCTTCAGTCTTGAGGGCCATTCTGTATATCATCTAATTTCCAATTTTGTAGGCAAAACTACAGTTGATCTTTTAGCTTTTCAGAGCTGCTGATTAGCATTTGGGGAATAAAAAGCCACTCGAGGTGGGCTTTCGTTTCTGATCTTCATGATTCTTCTTATGTTGGTAGGAACAGACCCATCATGTCAGGATTTGATGGAAAATGTTACTGATTTGGCAGGTGTGATCTAAATAAACATGATAAACCATTTGATACAAATATATAAATAACTGTTTTCTTTTCCTTGATATTTTATTCTTGTCAGATTGATCCGCTTGCTGCTGGGATGGCATCTCTCAGTTTAGGTGGCCCAACGGTTCCTCATACCCAGAGTATGCCTGGATTTCCTCCAAACTTGAGTTCTGCTTTTAGTACTCCTCAGTCACCAGCAAAAGCATTTCCACCACTTTCTACACAAAACCAGAACACACCTTTTAGTGGGATTGGTGGGCTCTCTTCACAGCTTCCAGGTACGGTTGTATTCAACAAGCTTCTGCTCATTAGGAAACAATTCTGGAAGTTACTCTGCTTCACCCTCCTTTTGGAGCCAGACATTAAATACTATGGCTTGTTCCTCTTCTCACTGAAGGCCTTCTGTTCCCAAGAACCAGTTCTTTCTCAAGAGATTGTACTTCCCAAATTTTCTGAGCTTGTAGAATGAAAGCCAAAAAAAAAAAAAAAAAAAGTGGGATATGCAATAACGCATTTCTGAATACATGAAAAATAGAGGAAGCTATTTCAATATAACCAGTGTTATTTGGTGTGTACAAAACTACCACTATCATTGATGACCTCTGCAACGCCCTTTATATTTTCAGGGTAGTGAAATCCTTGAGCCCTGTACTTTGAACACTCCTTTGTACATTGGATCATTATATCAAGGGAAATAGCAATAACAATAACACTTAGATTTATATAGTGCTTTACAGCAGAGGTCCCCAACCGTTGGTCCGTGGAGCACTGGTGGTCCATGAGATAATTTTGGTGGTTCGCGACGCACCTGGGTGAAGCAGCTGCTCTGGGATGAGCAATGGGCCAGTCCTGTGAGTAGAGCTCTGGATTTTGGGACAGGACAGGCAGCTTATGGTGGGGCTGGAAATCTCCGCTGTAGAGGTGCAGGAGGTGCAAGTTGCAAAGAGTAGTGCAGCCCTCGTGGCAGGAATGAGGTAATGATGCTGTTGTGGTGAGGGGGGTGGGGGTGGCAGCACAGGCGGTCCAAAGCAATGGCTGTCGGCAACCCATGGCCCTTTTTTCCCCCTGCTGTGGCTTACTGTCGGCTGAATCCACCATTGGCTGGCCACGGCCCTCACCCACCCCTCCCACTCACTCCTCGCATGGCCTGAGGAGGAAGGGAGAGAGAGAGATGAGGGAGAGAGAGAGAGAGAGATCAGAGAGAGAGAGATGAGAGATCCTCATATTTTGTTTTCTGTGGAAAATGGGTCCAAGTGGCACTTTAAGGTTGCAGAAACAGGCAGCCAAACTAAGTGCCTGAAGGACTCCATTCCATCACTGTCCAGCTGCTTCATCCAGCGGTGCGCTGGATTCATATTAGTGGTCCATGGGATTTAAAATTATAAATTTAGTGGTCCATAAGGTTGGGAACCCCTGTTTTACAGCACTCTCTGAGCAGTTTACAAAAGTTGGTGTATTGCCCCCAACAATCTGGGTCCTCATTTTTTCAACATCAGAAGGATGGGAGGATGAGTCAACCTTAAGCCAGTCAGGATTGAACTCCTGGCTGTAAGCAGAATTTGCCTGAAATGTTGCATTCTAACCACTGCACCACCACGCCTTTTGAGGAATGGGCAGTTAAGAAATATGAAACATAAATAAATATGAAATATATACCTAAAATATCAATCATTCAACAGTTGGCCTTTTCAAGGATAACTATACTGTTCTGAAGTCAGAGATTTTGTTTTTTCAGTAGGTGGTCTCACAACCGGTAGTCTGGGTATTGGAACTGGCAACCTTGGCCTCCCTGCAGTGAATAATGATCCATTTGTGCCAAGAAAGCTGAACACATCAGGATTGAACCAACCCACATTCCAGCAGAGTAAGGTGAAACCTTGTAAGTGGTGATGTTTGATTGTTGACCAGCCCACAGCTTTGTTGGTTTAGGCTGCATGGTGCTGTGTATGTAACAAAAAAGGAGTGACTCTGACAGCACCGGAGCTGTGGACAGCCTTTCAGTCAGTACTTTGCAACACTCCCTTTAGAAGAAATTACAGCTCCCAAAATTTCCTTTAGCCTGCTAAAGAGGTCTCTCTGTTCTTGCTTTTGGAAACCTCTCTCCCATTTCCTTAAGGAGCTGTCACAGTTCAGTTCTCAAGCATCTTTGAATGTACAGCATGTTTGAGATCTTCCCACAGATGTTCACTCATATTGTATGGGAGTCCAAAGACCATTCCAAAATGTGTATCTTTTGTGGCCAGTTTGAAGCTACACAGTATGCTAGATTTTTGTCTTACTGAAATTTCCAATATTTTTTCAGCTTATGGAATTTCTTACTGAAATTTCCAATATTTTTTCAGCTTCACTTTCCTATAGGACCCTGATGGCAAACCTATGACATGTGTGCCACAGGTGGCACACAGAGCCATTTATGCCGGCACGCAAGCTGCAGGCAAGCTTACCTCACTGCGCATGTGTGCGCCTCACAGCTGATTTTTCGGCTGGTTTGAGGCCTTTTTCGGCC